TGTGCACAAACAACATGAATAAGAGAGTTCATGTTCTCTCTTATTCATGTTGTTTGTGCACACAGCACAGCGCGGGCCGGCGTTCGGTGTACTTGTGTGTTGCAGATTAGCATTTGACCGGCATTTACAGGTGATTATAGCAAAATATAGTAGAGAAACATTAAGACTTTGGTACATTTCGTGTTTATTTACCTTTTTTTTTTATTGAGACGTTTATTGAACTTGAGCGTAAGTTAGCATGACGCCATCGTCGTACCTACTGCTGCGAAATGCTTCTCAAAAATATTACTGTAAAACTGTTAAATTTTGAATTAATTTTCATTATCTCAACAGATTATAAACAGGATGTTTTTATGTTTACTAATAAAGTATATAGCTACTTATATTACTTTCTTCTAACTATAAATATCTTCCATGATTTTCCATCGGCGAGAATACACTTCGAAACGTTCTCTCTTTCTCGCAGAAGTTGTTGAACATGAATGTAAGAACAATTTTATCATCCGTCGTTTCTACTACGAATTTGTTATTTATGATTAACGTTATACTGCAAATTTTTATATAATTGTAGTACAAGGTTTCGTTGTTATGATTGTGTACATTTTATTACGTGATGGGCTGTAATTGTACTGTGGTACCGATTTATAAGATTTCAAGATTTCAAGATTTTTATTTGTGCTAAACGAAGATAAATCAGACAATGGGGAAATTAAACAGTTATAACTTTGTTAATATAATGCACGGGGACTTTCCAAGACACGATGTTGAATGATATTTGCAATACATGACGTGATCTGGTGATTACATTTACAACACACACGTGTCACAATCCTAGCTCTAGTACTATAGCCCATAGTCTATAGTCTATAGTCTATAGAACATTCTCGCACAGATTTCGTGACACCACCTGGTCCCGATTGGTTGCACGAAAAATGGCTCAGAAAACGCAAAATGATCGGGCTTTTTAACACTTATTTATCTACATCACATGGACATCTCACCTATCTTTTTGAACACTTTCCACAACTTTACACCATGTATTTATGCCTTTAATAGCTTTATTCCTCACAAGCCAGCACTACTGGCTGTACCATTTGAAATATTGTGGCGTGCGAACGCGTGAGGCACCGGATGTGTAGGCAAAACACATGGCAGCATGTATATTGGTACTATATACAATACCGGTGACGTCACGCGTTCGCACGCCACAATATTTCAAATGGTACACCCAGTAGCGCTGACTTGTGAGGAATAAAGCTATTAAAGGCATAAATACATGGTGTAACGTTGTGGAAAGTGTTCAAAAAGATAAGTGAGATGTCCATGTAGATAAATAAGTGTTAAAAAGCCCGATCATTTTGTGTTTTCTGAGCCATTTTTCGTGGAACCAATCAGGACCAGATGGTGTTACGAAATCTGTGCGAGAATGTTCTATAGCCCTGCGGCAGTTAATGAACGCGTGCTATAGTACTATAGCGAACACAATCCATAAATGATCATCTCCTACTGGCGCTCATAGGGTCTATGTCCCCCAGGGTACTGCCGGAACGAACCTTGGGTACGGTCCGGTATATACCGGAACGTACCCTGGTCACTATTTGATATGGTTAGGATTAGGGTTAGGGAGTAGGCGTAGGCGACTCTCTAGATTCGGTAGTGGAGTAGGCGAGTTACGGTCCGGCATATTAGATAGTACCAGGGTACGTTCCGGCAGTACCTCGGGGGACATAGACCCTCTCAGCCCTACTGGCTGCCTCTGTAAATACTTTTTGCATTGCCATACGTGTCATGTCCAAGATTAGAAGGGAGATGTTTCTAAGCTTCGACGGATCGTGGTATAGTATCTGGCTGCTTTGAGAGATGGCAATATTGGTGTACTCAAGAAATGCGACATCCAGGTAACTGGAAACAACTCATTGTATTTGGTTTGGTATCCACGTTTCGATTGTTTTATTTCGTGCAGGCCCTAGCGCAAAAGCCGGTGAAGGGCAAGGCCCAGCAGAAGGGTAAGACCCAACAGAAGGGCAAAGGAAAGAAGAAGAAGACTAGTCTAAAGTTCTTCATTGACTGTACACACCCTGTTGAGGATGGTATCATGAATGCGGGTGACTTCGTAAGTAGTTTCATGTAACATGAATTACTGGTTCATTTTCATGTACAGTGAACTCCTGAGATACAAATTTAATTCGTTCCTCAGTTGTGTTCGTATCTCGAACTCTATATAGGACGTACAGCAATTTACGTACATCAAGTGCAATCATGAGAGCACAACCACATTCAATGAGTCACGTACAACTGACTCACCGAAAGAGCGCGCGCTAGGCCTATCCCCTGTTTGGCTGATTCGTAAGACGTTCGTATGTTGAATTTTATTCATTTGTCGAATACATTACGTTCAACGGGAGGTCGGTCGTATCTAAAAAATTCGTATGTAAAGCCGTTCGTATCTCGGGGTCCACTGTAGTTTCAGTGGGGAATTGTGTCTATTATGCAGGGCTCGAATTTCTCCAGTTTGAGGACTAATCCGTACGGATTTACTATGAAAGAAAAAATTGCATGCGGGACAAACTGTCTTGAATAAAATACCTTAAAGTTAAACATTACTATTTTAGCATTGGGAGCTCAGCATTTTATTGTACAGATTTGTCAGATAGTTGATTGAAATTCTGTATAATGGCTCTGCCACCACAGACTCTGTGTCTGCTCTGTGTACATTTAATGATTTTAAGACAAAGATAATTGCAGAGGTGGAAGTAGCACTTTAACGGCAAGTTATTTTTAAGTAATCTGTACGGATTTCCTTCAGGGTTCCTCATGTAATCCGTAGGGTAATTTACCCTACGGATTACCTGTGAATTTCGAGCCCTGATTATGCTTAAATGATGAAACGAATAAGGAGTCAAATAGCAACATATCATACAATGTTAAAGTGTGTATTCCATCGCCTACCTTATATGATCGCGTAATAACCGCGGGCGCCTATTAGCCGCACCTCGATTTGAATCGGGTAACCAAGTATTGCGCCTAGTATATTTCCCCTAACAGTATGGCGCACTTATAAACCGCAGAGCAAATACAGGGTTGAAATCTGAGGCAAAATTTGCAGTTATTACGCGAGTATATACGGTAATCTTTTAGTCTGAATAAATTTTTTACCAAGGTAGTTCAATAACCTCTTACTATAGAGAGTAATAGTATTACCCATGATTTCAAGGTGTAACTACAGGAAAGCATATAGCAGGGGTCGAAATTAGATTTTTATTTTGGTATCCATTCGGGATACCAAGTATTGAAATCTGGTATCCCCCCCCCCAAAAGATCTGGTATCCCATTTTTGGGATACTAATTTCAACAATGTTGGTATCCAAAATCTTGAAATAGTAGCATTATTATAGCAGCTAGTATCTCAATAATAGCATTTGAAATAAGCATTGGCAAAACACTCGCATATCCTACCACTACCATAGGCGAGCGATGTATCGATCGCCTGATATTCATAATTGTAGTTCACTCCCTGTGAGCGGTTGTTAAAAGCCGGTCTACTACATCATTAAAGGTATATATTGCGAGTAAAATTCACCCCATGTCATAAAATTGCCAAATGTTCACGCCAAATGTTGCTCACGTTCATTTTACATACGCCTCCACACTACATTGCAGACGTATTGTCTAGACGCATTGTCTGGTTCGCTTGATACAATGTATACACATCACATTTATGTTTATCAACATCGGCCACACTTATTATGCTTGCACTTGCAAATATGCTATGCCTGCTATGTATAACGCTAGTGTGGCATAGTAAGGGTGCGCTCTCGCACTCTGCGCGCACTCGCTCAGATGCGCTGCCATATAAAGTTGATAACTCAACAACCACTACCCCGATTTTAACGATTTTCTTTTTAATATTCCGGCGGGATACCAAGCATTGAAATCTGGTATCCAACACAAGAAATACTGCTAATTTCGACCCCTGTAAATAATAGTGTAAAAGTTGTTAGGTCTTAAAAGTGTTTGATATGTGTTTATTCATGAATTTTTATCGCAATCTCATCGCACAAGGATTAGGGTCACCTTCCCTAATCCGGGTTTAGGGCTAACGTCCCTATGTACCCAATATTCTCTTGGCACCATTGCAACAGGAGACGTTCCTACAGCAGAAGATTAAAGTAGGTGGCAAGACAAATAACTTCGGCAACCAGATTGCTATTACGAAGGACAAGAGCAAGATCACTGTAACTGCTGACATTGCCTTCTCCAAACGGTACGTGTGCCCACTTGTGCGTGACAAATAATCTGCTATTTAGGCATAGAGAAGTGAACAAAATTTTAAAAAGCTTGAATGTATTGTATTTATCATGTTTAATTGGCCGAACATTATTTTCGTTGTTTTCCTTATCGGCAATAGTATTTGCAGTGTGTGGTAGAAATAAAAAATCGAACCATAATAGAAAGTCTGAACTTCTGAAGTTGATTTGATGTATTGCAGGGCATTGGTATTGGTTTGTAAAACTTCATTTATTTGCGTGGTAATAAAAGCAAGTATATGGCTATGACTACACGACAACTCGATAGGCGGCAACACTAGTACGATGTATGTACGCACGCATGCACGCGTACTTGCACACGCACACACTCATGCACGCACGTGTATGTGCACACGCACGCATGTGTACGTGTACGTGCACATTCATGCACACACGTGTACCTGCACACGGGAGCGCACGCACGCACGCACACACGTGTACGTGCACACACACGAACGTGTACCGGCACACGCACGCAGGCACGCACATGTACGTGCACACGCACTCACGCATGCACGCACGTGTACGTGCACACGCACGCATGTACACACGTGTAGGTACGCACACACGTGTACGTGCACATGCAGGCACGCACGCACGTTTACGTACGCACGCATGCATAATAAATCGGTAATAATCGCTATCGGGTGTTGTCGTGTAGATGCTACATAATCGCTAACTCGAGTTAACTGAGGCTTATATGTTTGCAGGTAGAGGTTTATCTAAAAATCTGGCATTGTCAGGAATGGAGATCAATGATTTGGTTAAATTTGCACTAAAACATTCAAGCAAAACAGCAACTAGTTTATTTGTGATTCTAACTGGTGATTGTTTTGGGAAAATTAATTGTTTTACGTTTCCACATTGCTGAAATCCCAAAATCAAAATGCCATGTACAGTCCGACCTCCTTTATCCGGAAATCTCTATTAACCGGCTGCGATCTCGCAGTGTATGTTCTCTGTTTTTTCATTCATTTTCACCTATTAAATCTCGCTAAAAACGCGCGTGATGTACCAACTGTATGTGTGTTTGCGTGCGTGTTTTCCCCTCGTGTCCGCTATGCCTCTGGACAACTTTCGTTCGTTAACGAACAACTTGCTAGCGGACGTTAGTGAAATGCGCTACTGCGCTATACGCACTCGCGGTCGATCGAGCCCCGTACTTCAATCAAGGGGGCGCTGCCGCGCACATGGCTGGAAAAACTCGGCATGGCTGTGTCAGATTTTCGTGACATCACTGTACACGTGTATATCACATGTCAACAAGAAAACCACGGCATTAAGCTGGTTACGGTATGGTAATTCTAAAATATTACACCGCGATAATATCGCAATACTGGTATACCGCTGCACTGAATACGCGAGTGTATCGATCGTTACAGCCCTAGATCTCGGCACAAAAGAAACGAACATAAACCAAAGTGGTAAAATTTCTGTTTTATTTTAATTTTATTTCCATTTCATATAAACCATAAAACACGACAGATTGTTACAAATAATCATAGCAACGAGTAAATACATGATCACATGCATAAACCCTACTGAACTGTATAGAAATGCTGTGTTTGAGCATAACTCTCATATTCCGTCATGGGTGCCGGTGTCGCCGTGGTCGGATAAAGGAGGTCGTACTGTATGTTCATCTCCCTGGCCAGCAGGCGTGCAACAACTAACGCCCTCTAGTGTTTAGAAACGACGTGGCCGGATAAAGGAGGTCGGACTGTAATTAATTTGTAAGTGTATTTAGGTGATGTATTAGCTTTAAGAAGGATAAAATTGCTAAGCATATTTCTTTTGATTTTGTATTTAACAGCTATCTGAAGTACTTGACGAAGAAATACCTAAAGAAGAACAACCTGCGTGATTGGTTGAGAGTTGTCGCCAACAAGAAGGATGGTTATGAACTGCGCTACTTCCAAATTAACAACGAGGAAGATGAGGATGAGGATGGAGACGAGTAGACTACATCGTGCAATTCGCTGTCGGGTGTACCTTTACAAATAAAGTATATCCAACACACTATTTGTTTACTCCTCTGTGTCGTTAGTGGTAGTGATAATGTAGGTTATTAGCTCGGGGGGGGGGCACTCCCATTGTTAAAGGTACTGGGGACGTGCTGCTGGACAGGGTATGTTTTCCGAGTGGTATTGGCACAGGGTCTAGATACACACCCATCGAGCTGATATTGGACCAATATTGGCAAAACGATATTGCACCAATATCTGCCTATATTGACAGGACAGGACATAACCGATATGTGCAATATTGCAACAGTGTTACTGTATACTTTTTAGCTCATCTGACATAGTCCGATGGAGCTTGTAGAATCTCATGAGCGTGCGTGTGTCCGTCCGGCCGTGCGTGCGTGCGTCCGTCCGTCAACAGTTGGGGACAAATCTAAACGGCTCAACGTGCGAATTGGAAAGTCGGGACGTGGGGGGTAATCCGAAAACAAGTTGGGATGTCGAAGCTGGGGGTCAAAGGTCAAGAGGTGTAAAAGAAGGAACATTCCCTCCTTAACTTAAGGTATAGGGAGGAAATGCAGAATTGCGGCACAAATCTAAACGGCTCGTGATAGTCGGTGTATAGCGTCATGGTAGGAAAAGCCATCACTGTACTAAAATTGGAGGTCAGGTCAAAGGTCAATGGGGCACAGGGCAGATTTTAGACATTTTCTGAGGACATGGTCTGACGGAGCGATTGGAAAACTTTTTTCTTTCAGCGGTGACCTAGCATTTTTATGGCTTTATTGAAAGGACCATGACATTTACTTTCTGCTGACATGCGAAGCGTAAGTGTCGCATAACCTTTTAACCCTTAAGAGGAGGGTTAAACATCGATTCGTTTCTCAACTGCGTTGGCGAGTACCTGTGGCTGTGGAAAGCTCCCATTTTACAGTGAAATTCCACGCATAACTCTTACTTGAACAACGCTTTCTTAGGAGATAATGAGATGACTTATATTATATATGAGATTCTGTAGTGTACATTATGAATAGTTGGAATACAGTCACAGTGAACTAGCACTCAAATAATTACCCAGGAGTGAGGCTGCGGATTTCCCAGACTGAATTTTCTCATCAAATTTTGGCACCAATATAGATGCAAGTGTGTACGTTCTTGAGCTTATTCAGTCCACTAATCACTGGCCTACCTTGTACTGAAATTAGTTTACAGATATTTGCTATCATATTGCTGTAAATTGTAATCTTGCACGAGCTGCTCTGGTTGTATCAACCATTGAGCTATTTTTTAACTGTGTCTCGCAAGGGGTTTAATGTACCTTATTACCTGACACCATAGAACGCACGTTATGTATAGTAATAATATGGTAATTATTCGCTCCTGCTTTTTGCAATCCGTCGTCACACTGACAGCTGCCATTGCTGCAATGCTTTGGCTAACCGATGCAACACAATCGGAATTTTATTACACTAGTTTGAAGTGTTGTTTTTTTGGGGTTAGAAATGAACGTATGTATAGGACATCTGGCTATGCACAAATGAATTTATCAGCAGAACACCAGACACTAGATGAGCCCTGTCGCTCTGCGGCACTTGTTAGTGCAGTATATTGGGACCGGGTGTATTTTGGGGACGCAAAGCGGTTTGCGACAGGGTCAGGTTTTCAAGGTCCCGGAGGCTCGTGCAGTTCCAAGGCGAGTGCACCCCCCAGGGTTATTAGCTGCACTTGATATAATTTGTTTTAGATTGGTGCGAACGACAGAAACTCCACATCTTTTATTCAGGTTACAGGAATTTATTATGTACAGAACACAAAACAGCTTGATAAAATTATTGATCTTTCCATTATCATCAGGCTAGTCATCTATTGTATAATAGGATCTGCATAACAATGAATATGGTGGCCATAATTTTCAACCCGTACTACTAGAACCAACTAGTAGAATATGAACAAGATTGGAATTTAATCGCAGCCTGATTACTGCGCGGTGATGTCAATTTATCACCAACCACAATTTTTTACACGTTTACAGGTATGTTGCTGAGGTTAGACACCTGCAGCTCATAACACATTCAATTACTAGACAATTAATGGCATTTAATGATACAATACACAACACAGACATCAGCACCTTTGTAAAAAATAATAAAGGCTTCACTATTGACACGAACAGACCACGCAAGTATTGCATTAGCACTTCTCAAGTTTGTACTGCGTATGTCTGTTACTCGACCACGTGGGCTCCATGGCAAGATGAATTTACATGTCATTACACTATCAATCGCAAAAGCACCATACAGCGACGTACTCGTATACTGAGCTTACAATTGTGCAGAACACAAACGTTCTGCATCTCGCAGCTACCTCTGTCACCCTAACTGTCTCCATCACACAAGTCCCATGTGCTTGACTCGTGCACAAACGACTTACTGGCTATTACGTAGTTACTTTTACGTATGCATTATCAAAAATTTCCTACATTGATGTGACCGAGTCACAAGTAAAACCTGCCTCGTCTATATGCATCTGCACGCAGTCATGAGTGATGTACGAAAATTGCCCAGAAAGTTAAATAGACACCTGGCAAGTCTGTATCTGCTTGTACGATTGCTGGACACTACTAAAATATGCCAGTCATTACTATTATTATCCTTGAACCGTTAACACTGACAGCATAGTTATTGTTATTGTTTTACACAGCGATGAGGATATCTTTATATAGGTTCGTAATAAGTAGACAATGATCAACGACCTTTATTCTCACATAGAAGAAATTGGTGGTGGTCTTGCATTGCAGTACGAGCACATTTTAATGAAAACTGTATAATACACAAACCTGATACTATAAGACGTAAGGTATTGCTCGCGAAATTGCATTCTATGAATTTCAAAACAATTGAATGCACCGACTTCTAAAATAAATACTTAATACATAATACACATGTAATACAAACCTAGCTGCAAATTTGGCAACATCAACAATGTAGTTTACCTATAGAAACTTGTTTAAAAATGACGCTGATATGACAAAACGGAAAGTGGTAGATAAACGTGCTCTTTTAAATAATAAAAAAATACTCAAAGAAACGAATATGCATTCCTCATATGTAACGTGTATGCGAGTAAGGACTCCATTACTGAACATAACTTATACTTCTTCACATATCAATACCGTCAGTTATTGATATTTCCATGTAGCAAACTTAATGAATGTGAAATACTACTTTATGATACAGGTTTCATGGGCTAATCCATCTGCTTACACTTCAGTTAGAAGTGATAAAAAACCAGTATTAAATACTTTACCTGCAAGTTGATGTTGGCATTTTTAGTATATAGAGCTTTCAGATTCACTGATGCCATTCAGCAGTTATTTTAGCACAGTCTGACTTTTATAAATGCACATGACATTAGCTAAAAGGTAAAATTGTGAAGCAGTTTCCCAGCAGCATTCCACCCACGTCCAAATACAAAATAAACAAAATTGATGTTTTCATGGAATCACTGCCAGTTAAATAAAAAACACCTTGTATAAAAATGCTTCTGAAATAAGAATTCATTCAATTCACGGTATCTCAAATAAATAGGAAAGATTACAATTATGCGCATGTAAGTAAAGGTAAGGAACCAAATGAGAGACAACTACGACTGATTGGAAATTATGTTAAATATCACTCTGACCACTCAGCGCAATAGCCTGCCACAGACTGGTCAGAAATAGCTTTGTAAAGGGAATGGGAAATCGATACACCGATCATCTTTCGTCTTGGCAGAATGTCTGCACATCATTCTGGCCATCGTGCACCAGGTGGAGCTGCTGTTCCCCTACAAATACCTCTTCTATGCACCCAGTAAAACCTTGTTTGTACGGTTCAGGTAACTCTGTCGGAATGTTTGGGGCACCGCCTGAAAGGAAGAAAATGAATCATGTCAGATAACCATCATACCTTCAACTAATTAAGTGATAAGCACAGGGATTAAAGCACTGCATTGGAATAAGAAATGAAGTGTGCACGATTCAAAAACCAAGAATTTCACACTAATCGTAATCACATTCACGCATTCATCAAGTACATATTGTTTGCCTAGACGTTATTCATTTATAAAGAAGTCTCTTCAAGACACAATCGATACGTTGTGTAATGCAACTCGTTTATTCCACCATACTCTCCAGCACCCCGAGTCCCCACGCATACTCGTGGCGCCACCTCTTGGTGCATATATCAACATCCATAACACATATGAGTGGTCATGGAGACACGCCGAAAGGAAATGAAAGAAGAAGGCAGTAAACTCCTCAATTACTTCACGAATAATGACATACAATTAAAGAGCTGAAAATCGACCTTACCTATCCACAGTATTCCATTTGTATCAAGCTGCGTAGCCCCCGTGGGCGAGGTAGCAGTCACTGCCTCGTGTGAATCAACAGTTAGTGCTCCATAGCGTTTGTTTCTATAGCAATACGAGCAAAGTACATCCGTGAGTGAACGTTCTGGCTTACAGTGTGACATGCCCACCCAGTGCACACGCACATACGTGTTTGAGACCCGTCTGAGAGCATATTTTTATGGTCTATATCCACGGCTAATGAGATTTGATTTTCTCATAAGTGACCCTAATAGCTTCTTTTTTTTAAGGCAAAGCGAAAAAATAATCCCCGGCAAAGTGCTAGTTAGCTTGAAATGTACTCGACAGTTGAGTAAGTGCGTGACCGAAAACTCACCTTGCTACTCTGATCATGTGCCACTCGCCATCATTGATCCTGACGGTTGAGCGTATGATGAACAGGTCAGCGGGATTCTGCTTGCCCAAGTTGTAGTTCAGCTGAAGGTAGCCATCGACCAGGAGAATGGCAAAGTAGTCGCCTCTCACGGTGTTGCCCATGTTTTGCCATAGGATCAAGCCAGAGTCGGCTGTTGTTCGTAATTTCAGCTTGTAGTCATTTTGTATTTGTCCTTTCACGCTGAAACATGATCGGTTATGAAAATAGAGGAAACCTTGCAGACACGTGTACGTACAAAACCGGTAAACACACGCGACGCAACTGTACATGTATTGTCCACATTGACCAGTTCAATTTTATAGTCTCGCTGCAGTTGTTAGGCTGCACCCAACGTGTGATGATGACGATTTCAATCTACTTGTCCATCAGAATTTCAAGGTTTTCATATTTAAATGACTATCGACATTGACTGCTATCACGTCACAAATTTATATTAATACAAGAATGAGCACACTTAACACTCGCTTACTCTCTCGTCACTAGATTGGGGTAGTAGAGGAAGAGATTTCCATCAAACATAACCGGTTTGTCCATTTCTCCATTGGCTGCAGCTGTAGAAACGTAAGTTGCGCATCATGACCAGTGCATTACAGTGTCCAGTTACATTATATTTATAATTAACTGGCCCTAGAGTTGCCACTTGCCATTTGATTATGCTAACACTTGTACTGTACAGTGCACTGACAGCAAGGAGTTGCAAGTTTATGCGCTCAATTCTATCAATTAATAAATAAATGAAAGAAAGAATGCTAAAGAGCGCGATTGTTGGTCGGATCCACGGATCTCGATCCGATGGATTCGTTGATCTGACTGTTTGTTTGGTCGGATCACATGATCTCGATCCACCGAACCCGCGACCCTGCTAGCGAGGTGGATTCGAACGGGATCCAATATGGCGGCCCGCGTCTCAGCCAATCACAGCTTGTTCTTTGTTATGAACCATCCCGTGATAGGTCACAGCGAAACGTGAACCGGTGAAAGTGAGTTTGCGTTTGTTTGGTCGGATCAGGATCACATGATCTCGATCAGACGGATTCGTCCCAAACAAACGCGCCCATAATTAATGTACACACCGATGTTAGTCACTGAAATAAATCATTGATTATAATTCAATAACTCAGCATATCAATATAATTCCCTCTCAGGTGTAAAACCCTTGGCTATAGTGCTGCTTACTCTTGTCGCACGTCTTCCCCATGTAGTCAGGCGAACACTTGCACATGAAATCGTTGAGATTTGGGATGCACGTCCCGCCGTTCCTGCACGGATTCTCGTCAGCTCCCCCACACGGTGGACCGAAATACCGAGTCACGGCATAATGATTGGTGGCGCTCTCTAGCAGGTCGCCTGAAACCGACGAAGCGTGTTAATCGATTGCACGTTCCCAATCTTCTCGCCCTGGCTGCAGCAAACCGTTCATAACCATTCATACGCCATACCTTTATCACTAACACCGGATAAAAGTCGCAAACTACGCGCCCTGTATCACCAAGCAGGGTGCAGCGCATTCCTGATCGATCTACGCTAGACTCTGAGCCCCCCTGTGGTATCATCAACGTTTATGTGGTATACATGTGACGCAGGGCATTATGGGGGTTGCCAAGAATAAAGACTGAACCATAAGACAACATTTGTATCGTCTATCAATATCTTCAACTTGTACGAGCATATATTCACAACAATAACCGCTACAAATGGCGTCAGAAGTGGGATTACGAAACGCAACCTCCGGCAATGCTCGACCTGCCCGGTGCGAATTAACGTACCCATGATAATGCCGTTGACTGTGACTCGCTGGATGGCACCCTTGAGACCCGTAACGACGCCCGACATGTAGGACAGCTGGCTCCGGTCGCTGAAACCCCCGATGTACAGCGGCTGATTCAGGTTCAGCTCGTTCGACGGAGGCTGCGGAGCGGCGGAGAGAAAACGCGGATGAATAAGTATTGTTTCGCGTCGCTTTTTGGCGATGCGGAAACGTACGTCGCATCGATGCGAGACGGTGGATTTGCACGGATACGCATTGTAAACATGCGCGATTGTGTACGTTTTAATGCGTGTATATCTCTCTGTACGTGGCAACTCGCTACTAAGATGAAATGGATTAATGGTTAGGGTTAGGGTAATTAGGTTAGAAAATGGTTATAAATTAATTTGCCACTTCTATCTTGGCCATAGGACATATGCTGTCTAAGAGCGATTACAAGTAAGTGTTGTTCATGTGAGAACCATAGAGTTTAGCCACTTCTTACATCAGATTCTCCATCTACGAGTTCCTCGTCGTTGACACGCAGTGTTCCCAGCCGGTTGTACCGTGTCACAACGACCTGGTGCCACTGATTCAAGGTCAAAGGGCTCCGACTCCTACAAAATACCCGTATGTATATAAGCAAAACATGTGAGGTCAGTGAGAAATAAAGTAAAATATTAGAAATAGCTGGATATATATATATATATATAATATAGATATAATAAATACAATGAGTTAAGTAATGTACTAGGATATAATTGTTGTGTGGAACGTACGTAATGTTGGCAGTGCCGCTTCCAAGATTGTATCTGTAGTTGACATAGCCCTCCACAAGGTTGATGGAAATGAAATCTCCCTTGCCCATGGGAAGCTGCCCGTTGTATAGCAACATGCCATTCGGTGAGTATGCCATGAACCAGATCTCGACGGTAAGAGATGTGTCACTGGTCACCTCTAGTTTTGGTTGTTCTATGTAGGCTCTGCCGTTAAATTCTGGGATTGAGGTCTGATGTTTTTCCGGTATCACTGAAATAGACCGAATGCACAGAAGGCGATATGGTTCATTAAACATTTCTCCGATATTATGACTATCTAATTGTTACGTTGGATATTATGCACACTAAACACATCACGATAACAGTCTCATTTAGCTTCTTAAAATTAGGTCTTAGCTCAAACTTTTGTATATTGAGAGTGATATAATTATAAACTAGATAACAGCAAAATTAGTGATTATCTCTTATACCAATACTATATCAAATTATAGTAGCAAAAACGTACAATTTCTTTTTATGCTCACTAAACAAGCAAAAACCATAAAATACAATATCTCCGCTCACATCTGCTACTGACAGTGATTTGAAATTGACACCAATATCCTAAAAATGAATGAAACCTTTTAAAAGTGGCCGATAGATAGACTAATGGCCAGTGGATAAATTATAGATGAATATAGTTACTCACAGTCTTCACAGAATTCCCCTGTTCTGCCTTGTGGGCACTTGCAGCTGAAGCTACCTTCATCCATGCTGTTGCACGTTGCTCCCATGTAGCACGGGCTGGAGCTACACGGATCCACATCCTCCTCACACGTCTCACCTAGCCAGGTAAGACAGGTCAGGCGAGGTTGTGGTTAGGGTTTGAGCTTGGGTTGGGGTTGGGGTTAGGGTTAACTTAAAGTTGTTATGGTTGGGATTGGGGCTAGGGTTGGGCTTGGGGTTGGGGTTAGGGTTGGGGTCACCGGTAGGGTTAGAGTTAGGTTATGGTTGGGGTTGTGGTTATAGTGCAGGGTAAGGGTTAGAGTTTGGGTTGGGGTCAGGGTTAGGGTTGGGGAACATGTATCACACACACATTTGAAGCACAGACCATTGATAACAGCCATTGATACTGACGCAAACAAACACTCGCTGAACACACATGAAATTAGAAGAGACGTTAAACGTGAAGAGATCGTTAAGGGGGGGGGAAAAGTTATTTTCAGATCGCGGGATTGGACCCGGGAACCGGCAAATGCCGGATATACCTTTAGCGATTCTAATTAACTGGGAACTGGGAATCAATGCATCCCCCCACCGTTACCCACTCTGAGTTGAGTGGTGACAGACGTCGGCACACCTGCATGGTGACGCTATCAGCCATACCTGTATGACTCTGTTGGCACATGCACTTGAATTTCTCGTCCTCCAGTTTGACACAGGTGCCGCCGTTCTGACAGGGAAGGCTCGCACACGGGTTGTTACCACACTCGCCTGCAGAGCACGATGAAACATCGGTGAACGTAGGGAATAGCAGAGAATGTTTGGGGATATATAGCGGTGAACGTGGGGGAATAGCAGAGTGTTTGGGGATAGCGGTGAACGTAGGGGAACAACAGAGAGTAATTGGGGATAGCGGTGAACGTAAGAGGAACAACAGAGAGTGATTGGGGATAGCGGTGAACGTAAGGGGAACAACAGAGAGTGATTGGGGATAGCGGTGAACGTAAGGGGAACAACAGAGAGTGATTGGGGATAGCGGTGAACGTAAGGGGAATAGCAGAGAATGTTTGGGGATAGCGGTAAACGTAAGAGAATAGCAGAGTGTTTGGGGATAGCTGTGAATGTGGAGGATTAGCAGAGTGTGTTGGGGGATAGCGGTGAACGTAGGGAAAACGCGTTGAACTTTTGGATATATTGGAGAACAACGTATGTAGGAAAAAGAAGAAAACTTTAGGTAATAGAGGATGAACATTCGGAAATAGCAATGAAGTTTGAAAAATAGAAGAGAACATGGGGGAAATAGTCAAGAACTTCAGGATAAACAAGAAGAACATTATGAAATGACGGAGTATTTATGAAAAGTCTAGGAACATGCCGACCATAATCTGCCTACTCGGGCGCGAGTGCCCGAATAAACTCTTACACGCGCTCACTAACTTAACACACCTGCGACTTCAGATGTAAGACCGAGCGAGACAACCGCATGAAAAACGCGTTTCTTGGACGCGGCGAGCCGAACGATGACGATAGTTCCCACAGGACGACCGCCGCGCCCCCCGTGTCACTAATTCTAACCCCTGTCACTAATAAGTCCTCGGTGTCGTTACTATAGGGAACGTGCAGTCGACTATAGTGATCGGTGATCGAAGATCGAAGATTGGTGGGCGTGTGCGATGCTGAGGAGAGTGCTGCTAAGCTGTCTCGTAGCGATGCTGCTGCTGCTGCTGCTCGTAGCCACGACACAGGGATGTGAGTATATATAGTCTCACATACAGACACACAGACACAGACAGACAGGCAGACAGACAGGCAGACAGACAGACCCGCACGCGTACACACACACACACACACACGCACGCACGCACGCACTCACGCACACAAGCACGCACGCACACACGCACGCGCACGCGCGCACACACACACACACACACACGCACGCACGCACGCACTCACGCACACAAGCACGCACGCACACACGCACGCGCACGCG